AAGCTTATTTAAAACCCGACCCAAGCCCGACCCGATAAAAAATTTTATGATGGGTTAGGCCAGGTCAAATTCAAAACCTGACCTGACCCAACCTGACCCGATTATTTAATAATTTACATTACATTATACTAGAATTATATTACTTTAAGCTTTTATATATTGCTCACCTCAAATCTATGTTCAATACAATTTAAAAACTATACTGCTTAATGTTATTCTTTAAATGCTAAGCTACAAATATTAATTTAAACAGTGTATTTGATAATTCAGTTTAAAATGTAATTATTATTAACAATAAATATGATTATCATTTAAACTATTACATCCACTCTTTCTGACGATCACTTGTACCAAATTTTCTGACAAAAAGAAAAGCTTATTTTCGATACTGGAGAGTAGTAACCTGTAGTAAGGTGACTTCAACAGGGCGGCTTTTATAAAGGTCAACCTTTTGCTAGCTCGGAGACTCCTTTATATATTCAATATACAAGCCAAAAGCATCTATATACACTTGACCCCTGTTAATATCAGGATAGTTTTTATATACCCTGAGTTTATTTTGTTTTAATAAGAGATTGATATTAACGAGAGGTTGATATTATCAAGGTTGATATTAACGGGGGTCAAGTATACAAGATAACTGGCAAAAGATAGTGACTATGTATATGAAATTTTGGTGGATAGGTGGAGGTGATAGAAGTCCAAGCCTTCCGTCGATGAAGCTATCAGTTGCAAAACAACTGAGAAACAGTAAAGAATAGGCTTCCTTTAAGCCACACTCCTTTTTTCTAACCAAGTGGTTCCTACTACCCTTTTTTTTGCTGCCCTGCCTTTCTTTCAAAATTTTCGATAAAAAGTTGGCTTATCCCCTACAAAAGATCGGCATTGTTTATCTCCCAAATTTGGACGGTCTAGTAGAATGCAACCACGCGTTTATTTACAAACGGATATGGTGCTACTTTACAGAACTTGGCCCGAGAACTCTAATTACGGCAGCAGGTGGCTTGAGATACGGGTCTTCAGATAGCAGCAGCACCTGGCTAGAGATACAAATTGAAATAGGCAACGGAGCTATCTGAAGTTGGTGGGAGGGTCAGAAAGTAAACTTTAACATTAAGGTGAAGCTTTACAATAGAGATATACAAATGTTGCATTTGTTATATAATTTTTACCAACCATGCATGGGTTATAATAGTGCCTTTAGGGTTTTAGATTTCTTTTTATGTTTTTTCTTTTTTAAAATCTGTGTTTTTTTTTTCTTTTTTTTGTTTGTTTTTCTTTTTTGGTCATTTTCATAGTTTCTTAGTTTAAACTTTTCCCCTTTTGTTTTGTGCTCCTTGAGAAGAAAGAAGAATTGAAAAAGGAAAGAGGTCCTGTCCTGAGATGGGAGCTAAACCCAGGCTATACTATATCTTCAAATGCGGTCACTGTGTGTGAGGTATACCGTATATTGCTGAAAATAAGCCACCTCCGAAAATAAGCTACCCCCTTTTTTCTTGGAGAAGAAATTTGTAATTCCGAAAATAAGCTACTTCTGATAATTTCTTAAAATCCGGAAGTAGTTTCTATATATAAAAGTCAAAATTCTATTAAGTAAATCGATAAATGTCACATAATAGGAGTTGTTCAGGACGTAAAAATACACATATTCTGAAAGTTTGAAGCAAATAGGAGAACTTTTTACTACGATGTTTTTGCATTTTACGCTCAAACGTAAAATGCAAAAATATCTTAGTAAAAGTTCTCCAATTTGCTTCAAACTTTCAGGATATGTGTATTTTTACGTCTTGAACAACCGCTATTAAGTGACTTTTGTCGATTTACTTAATAGAATTTTGACCTTTATATATAGAAACTACCTCAAGATTTTAAAGAAATAATAAAAATCAACCTTTTCGAAATTTTACCCGAAAATAAGCTACCCCCGGGATTTTTGTGTCACTTTTTTGGCCAAAAAAGGTAGCTTATTTTCGACAATATACGGTAGTGGCTAATATCAGTGCGATAACCAAGGTTGGGTATCTGTAGTGGACAGCTAGCCTTTGTCTAATTATCTTGTTGAATTGCCTAAGTATGTATTTGTGATAAAGCATTAAAAATTTAATAAACTTTTTAGTACGTGGTTATCAAAGGAAAAAAAAAAAAAATTAAATCATTATCGTTATTATGCTACAATTTAATTTAATCAAGTGAACTTGGTGTTATTTATTAAACTAGTTCTGCTCACTTCACTGATACTCTTTTTATAGATACAAGACTTTATCAACAAATTTATTTTACAGACACTCAACATGTACATTTTACCAGCACATTCATTTCACTAACACTTAATTCACTGACAATTAATTCACCAAGTTTAATTCGTGTAGTTTGAAGAAAAGGAACTTGATTATATGATTAAACACTCAGCTTAAGTAAAGGTTATTGTTAGGGTTTAAAATTAAATTACTATCAGATTTTTAATAATATTTGAATGCTTTGTGTTCATTTTTTTTACACCAATTTCTTTAAATTAATGACCAACCATAGTTATATATCCGCCAATCTGTGTAATGCCCTAAAATTGAATTAATAGTAGATCATATATAAATTAAGACAAAATGTAACACAAAGACCGATAGATGGAAGCAAAGACTATAAAAATTAATAAACATATAGTTTATACTTAAAAGAGTCTATACACGAAGTAATCAGAGAATTGGCGAGATAATCAGGTTGCTTATATATATCAAAACTTTAAGTAGTAGTTTTTAAAGTATATGGGATCTTTGCTAGGAAAATTACCCTTCGGGATTTTCCGATCGGGCTAATTCGGAAAGGTTTAGACCAGAATGTCGGTTCCTATTCTTTACTGATTCAACAGTTTATTTAATAAACTATCGAATAAATAAAGCAAAACATGAATTACATATGAATAAGAACTGGCATTCTGGTCTAAGCTTTTCTGAATTAGCCTGATTGGAAAACCCCGAAGGGTGATTTTCCTAGCAAAGATTTCATATTTATTTTCAAATGTAGAAGTTCAATCAACGATACTAAACAACTATTTTGGCTATTTCAAAGTTTTTTCACAGATCAGATGGTAGAAAAGCATTAGCAGAAACACTTTCATAGAGAGACTTTTGTGATGTAAATCAATTGCCTGGGTTACTTATTTTATAGTATTTTTTGAAATATAATATTTCACTAACAAAAAAACCATCGCAGGTTTTTTTGTGTGGCTCTTTAGTATGTCCAGTACTCAGGTTTGGGTTCGTTGTTAATTTAATACTATTTATAGTTTATTGAATATATTTTTTTATCACTAAATGGGTTATATAATGGAAAGATTATTCGAAAACAGTGGTATTGTTTGTTGAGGTCTATAATATTAAAATGGTTAACGGTTAGTAAATTTATTATTAAGTTTCAAAATTTATATTTACTGTATATTATTTAGCTATACAATACTACTAAGTTTGAATATTTTCAATTTATAAAGTTCGTAAATATGTAGTTGAAGAATCATTGATTCAAGTCATGAACGTAATATATATCGAATTTGTCTCTGAATTTATCAATTTCTTGTATACACGCCTTTTCATACATTAGAAAAGTAGTGCTTACAAAATCGAATAAAACTCGATTTTGCCAAGTATTAATTGGAAGTAGCGACAAGTATATTTCTATTAAGGGATTTTTTGTTAGTATTTAAACGATTGTTCATAAATGGATAAGATAATTAATATTTTTTTTTTAAAAAAAAACGTCTGCTTTTAGACAATCATTAAATATGTATGTACGTAAAAAAAAAACTTATCTAATCTAATTGACCACTTAATTGGTACCGTGTACTAGATACTTTTCAAAAATGCTAGAATCTACAATTGAATAATATGTGAAATTATTTAAATGATAATCTGGCTAAGATCTGCAGAAAATTACTATTTATATTTGGGGAAATTTTGATTATGAGTTATTAATAAGTATCATTGTACAAAAAAAACTAATACATTAAAAGCTAACTAGAAAGTGTCCTATTTTTTATATATTTATATATAAAATTGATCTAATTTTCTAATTTTGTAAAAAAATTTGCGAATTTGAGAATATACTGACAGCCTACCTATAAGGAAACAAACAATTTCCAGAAGGCAGTATAATGCAATTGTAAAGTATAGTAATTAGTGATACAGTGGAATCATCTCAATGAAGTTACGGCTTAAGCAGTAAGTAGCTAAAACTTATGCTGTAACCAGTTACAGCAATCATTGAGACGACTCTACTGCATCACTAGTGGTAATATAGTTTTTTATACTATATTAACTGTCTCTTATTTCTTCATATTAATAAACTTTCGAGTATTTAAGCTTGGATCTGAAGGTGGAAAGCGTTAGTAAAAATACCTTAGAGACTTAGATCAGAGGAGGAAAAAGCATCAACAAAGATGCTTTGCAAGAACACTACTCCAACTGCCTTGAATTTTAACCGGATCAAATAGAAATATAGCGAAGGCACTTTAAAATACACCATGCTGATTTTTTGAAGTATGAATAGACTTGAATCAAATAAAAAAAAATGTTGGCTAAAACACTTCGCAAGTATACCATACTGTTTTCTTTTTTGTATTTTGAATGTATTTAGTAGGAAGAAGAAAAAATATTAGCAGAAATACTTGTTAATAGTACTGCCCGGCTGTTTTGAATCTTGAGGAAATGCGTTAGTAGAAACATTTTGCAGTACACTATGCTAACTTGAATTTAAATGAAGAAAAAGCATTGGTTGAAATGTTTATTAGAACATTAACTAATTATTTGACAGATACCACGTTGATTTTTGAATTTTAGACGAATTAAACTTAATCAGCAGAAGAAAAACATTAGCAAAAGCTTTTTGTAGAAGATTTTGCAAAAACATCATTGAACTTAGATTACAAGAAGTATATTCTTTGAATTTGTGTTGCAATATTAATACAGTACTGTATATAATAATTTCATTTATCTAACATATAATTGCAACAATTATTTTGAAAAACTAGACATATTAGAAGCTCTTGAGGTTTCTGCTTCTTCTATAGAACGCATAGCCATTGCAGCTTTCCATTTTTTGTAGAACCCACTAATCCAGTTTGCTATAGTCGTAATTTTAGGAATATTATCAGTTTCAATTTCGCCATGTGCTGCACGTAGAATAAGCTCTTTATGCATTTGTTGAGCAGACATTTTTTGCTGTGGATTTGCGGTACCAGTATGGAACATTGTTTTAAGTAGACTTAATTTCTTCTGTTATTTTTTTTGTTGGTTCACATTAAGTTAGCTTTTGATTTTCTTTTAAGGCCCATTCGGTTAAAAAAACCATATGGCTAAAAATTTAGAGTTTATTATTAATGCTTATTATATGTTTTTTATAACGATGTTTACTACCTTTGTGTATCATTACTTATCAGAATTGTTAAACTTTCTGAAACTGAATTCTACAAAATAGTGTATTTTTATTTGATCGTTTTTTTTTTTTTTTTTTTTTTATACATATTAATTCAAGATTCATTTCATTTCTGCGATATTTTGAAAAATATTAATTGGCATAGACCAAAATTTATTATTTTCAGTATGGGTTGTAAAGATAGGGTTCGGCACATCTAGATTGTGATTTTTGGTAATTTTCATAACTTGCGCAGGTGACCATTTTTTCCACTCTCTGATCCCAGGTAATGTTCTCGCATATATATATCCTATGTCATCATCTTGAGGCCACGCCCATTCATGAAAATTATCAATTCCTGGAAAAGTACCTAATTTAGATTTTTTTTAGAATAAAGAATTCGTATTAGTTATAATTTTATTTTATTCAATTTCAATTTTAAAATGTTTTTACCTGTTGGTCGGTTTGGTGTAAGATTTGCTACATGTGTTCTAGCAATATTTTTGTTATATCTTTACCAGATTCTATATTTAATCCTAATTTAACGTATCTTTTTATAGCATGTGATATCTAAAAAAAGAAATAATATGTTACCCAAATTACAAAATAGATAGAAGTAAGATATACTTGTGCATAATGTGAATCGATTGACGTTTTAGCCTCTCCAGCTTCAAGAAATATCCATTTGCAAGGATATACATTATACCATTCTTGCCACATATAGTGATTGGCCGTAATCATGTGATGCTAATTGTCACGTGGTAAAATATATAAAAATCAACAATCTAATTGTTAATTTTTATATATTGTATCATGTGGCAATTAGCATCACATGATTACGACGCCAATCACTAGCCACATACTCATTATTATCATTAATTCCATGCAATGATAGTGTCTACTATTATCTGACAATATAGCAACCTATTTTGGCTTTCTTTTTATTGTTTGTAAAGCAGCGTGCAGAGAGGAGGCAGTGAACTATGCATCCTGCTGTGTATCATCTGACCAATGGTCAAATACATGAACATTTAGCTGTTGTAGTGTGATATCTTTTTGGTAAATCAAGATACTATGCAAGGTCCAGCCCTGTTTGCCATAAAAATCTTTTTTGGTTTCTCGTGCTGTTCTTGGTTGAATTCTCATTTTATAATCAACAATGAGTACTGCACCATCAATATCCAATTCGTCTAAGCATACTTGAACTTGCTTATTTAGATATGTTTTCTGTGCATGATGTGCCATCCAGGCTATTATTTTTTTTTTGTATGTATTAATTGTTTCATAAAACTCTAATGGAAGATTTATTTTTAATTTTTCAAAGAATTAAAATAAAGCTTTGCATTGTTTACAAGTATTTGGATAAGACATTTTGCAGTTATCAAATGCATTACTTAAACAATAGCTTACACAGGGATCATGAAGTGCTTCACTAATTAAATTCAATGTAAATTTTTTAGAATATTCTCGGTGTATATATCGACATAAATCTTGCAGTTTATAAATTAATGAATTCTAAAAATAAAAAAAAATAAAATTTTTTTTTTAAACTAATCAAAATTTTTATATGTATCATTTTATTGTCATACCTTTAATATGTCATTATTAATATGTGCAGAAATTAAAATATTAATGTTATTAATGACCTCATAACTACAATCATTACAACTTGCACAAAGCCCTCCAAGATCATCTTGAAAAAGAAAGTGGTTTCCTTCTAGTTGAGTTATAAATACAGTTTTACGCATTCCATTAAGATATTGTTCATGAAATCAATTCCAAAGTGCTGTTTTGTGATCTTGCAAATATAATATAGATAAGCCTGAAGTAGGATCACTTCAATATGAGCTTATATTAACGTTTTCCTTATTAGTAAAAAAAATTTTAAACTGATTTATCATTTCTGGTTTAAACTTTAGCCGTTTAATAATTGGTTTTTCAATTGCTTGTGCACCAAATTCATTAATTCTTGCATGTTTACGAGACTCATTAATAGTGTGATGACCAACCTTTATAAAAAAAAAAAATTTAATATTTTCTTGTTTTCTTAATAATGAATATGTATTTATATAACTTACATCTAAATTTCTTTCTAATTCTACATAGGTAAAATCACATGCTATAATTGACAATATGCGACGTTTTTCATCAAAGTTTTTCATATTACATTTCAAGACTCAATCAAAACTAGACCAAAATGTTCATGTTGTATTAGGCATATGGATAGGAATACTGTTAAGTAATCCCGATTTATAGAGATTTTAAATAGTTATTTTGAGTGTTTTCTGATTTACTCCATAATTGATGCTTTTAGTACTTTAAAAATTAGTAATAATAAAAGTACATTATAATATATATAATATATATTATATATTATACATTTGATTCTTCAGAAGACCAGGGTGTAATATTAATACATCCTGCAGCACAACGCATTGCTTGTTATGCTCTTAATTCTTTTGGATTAAATTCATATTTTGGAGGATATATGTTTTTTAGTTTTGAATTAAGCTCAATTATATTACTTTTTTCATTAAGCCATGATATAAAAAAGTGTCGCCAAGGGGCAAGGGGCAACTCTTTCTGTAAATCCCTAACACAAAATTTACTTAAATTCGTCCAACAAAAAACGTCTATTTACACAATATTTTACTATTCTAACCTAACTTGACTTTCTAAGTAAACTTGTCTAGTACACAAAAATACACATAATACTCAATTTTCAAGTTCTTAGCTCATATATCTGCGGAGTAAAGTCCTAAAAACCTTTTTTAAACAAAAAATTCAAACTTTTGACATTTACTCTTTAATCTGATTCTAAACCTCTGTACTACGTCTAGTAAAAGTTGTTTTACACACTTTCCTCGTCTTAACAAGCTATATTTCATCCTTGTAGCTTTAAAATTGACGAAGCTAGCCTTTAAGGGAAAAAATTTATACTTTTGCCATTTACTCTTTAATCTGATTCTAAACTCTGCACTTCATTAATTAAAAGTTGTTCTACACACCTTTCTGATCATAACAAGCTGTATTTTATCTCTGTAGCATCAAAATTGACGAAGTTACTTTTTAAACCATTTTAACTCTCTTTTCTTACTCTTTACAACTTTCTTTGTCTTTTTTTGCACTTTCCACTATACACAATTCTTGTGTAATATCCAATCACTTCCAAATTTATCCAAATTAACTCTATATTATGGAAATATTAATTTTCCTTTATATTTTTCATTCTAACAATCAATTTTACACAAATTTGCTAATTATTTACATAATAACCCTTTTTTTAGCTAACCTTATTACCCAAATTTTTTGCATATGATTTTTATACAATCTGCACTCTAAAATTACAAAAATTGAACGTTTATAACTTATATTTTCATATATATTTTTCTATATTTATATTATAGATGCTGGTGAAATATGGTGAAATGTGGTGAAATAATTTCACCACTATTAGTGTAATTGGTGGTGAATTGGTGAAATTGGTGAAATTAATTTCACCAGCATCTATAATTTATATACTATTCTATATACAATAACAATTATATCAATTAATAATACAAAATCTTTAAAATTCAATAACTTTTGATCTATTCAACCAATTTAGACGATTTAACTACCAAAATGATAATATCTTCAAGACGCTTCTAATGAATCCAAAATTATCTGATTCTGATCACGTGATCAAAAACGCCATCAAGATTTATTTTTCAAACTATCTATATTCTTTTATTAAGTTTTTTATTTCTTCTTTTTACTTTTAATATTTATACTCTAAACTAACTATGATTCAACAAAAAATTTTTCATCATAAGCTTTTTAGTAACATGCTTGATTGGTTTCAAGCATTTCCAATCAATCCAGAAGCTCAAAATTTAATACAATTCCCAACTCCTCTTGGAATTAATGTTTTAAATTTTATTAAACCTTTTCTTCAAAATTTTTATCCTAGACATGCAACTCATACTTCTACTATTTCTCAACAACCTATTTGTAATAGCTTTAATAATCTATTACAAAACATGATTTTACAAAAACCACAATTTCTATTTGATATTATTTATCAAAATACCTCTAATACACCTTTTTTTAATTCTAACATTTCATCTAAATTCTTACTTTTTACTTTTAAAAATATTTTTTCCAACTTTACTACTGTTCTCTTTACAAGTCAAAACTATAAAAAAATCTTTCATTCACACTATTTTTTACTCCCACATTCTATTTCTCAATGTGTTTACATTGCAATTAATCTTGCTTATTTATACCCCTTTCTTCATAATAATTATCAAACTATTAACTATACCCAATTCTATCTTGATCTTGATTTTAAATCTATTTGACTTAGTTTACATTTTGATACTACATATCATAATTCCAACTCTATATCACTTGAAATCAAATATGATTCTAAATATTACCTTTAATATTGATCCACAATATTTTCTTCAAACATTTCGTATTCCTTTTTTTAAATCATATTGTGCACCTCTTGATACCTGGTTTTCTAAATTCTATAATATTTATTAAAAACAATTCTCATATATCAATCAGCAAAAAGTTTATAAACAGATTAAATTTCAAACCATTATCTTCCTTTCTAATTACCTTAAACAACTACTTCCAGATTCTTACCAACCTACATCAATTAATTTACTACAAGAATGTACTGATACATCAATTAAAGCTACTTTACACTACTTACATACTTGTACAAATTCTACTTGCAATATTCTTCCTAACAATATTACACATACTTTTTATAATTTAACTTCTTTTTTCTTTAAAC